AGTGCTCCCATTGTTCGTTCGAGGATTAGTCGATTCTTGTATGACAAAAGAATTATCAACACCAGCACTGTCGGCATCTACATAATCAGTAAGCTCGTCCGATACGCAAGATTGCTTTGGCTTTTTGTTCACCAAATCTTGTAACTGAGAAGTTATATACGAGATAGAGGCCGATAGAGACTGGATTGCTTCGCCATTGATTTGTTGACCCAGTTTTAGACCTTCAATATCCGTATGCACATCATCACATAATTCATTTGATAGTTGAGTGTGGGCTGAGGCAGATACTTGTGAATTATTTGCATGATAATTACAAATCCGTTTACATAACTCTCTCATGATTTCGGTCGCATTTTCTCCATTGATGGAAAGCAATCCCTTATTCTTTCTCCATAGTATAGTTGATGTATCACAACTAAACAACTTCCTATCACCTCCAGGCTGTTCCCAAGTTCCTTTGAGTTGTAAATTTTCACTTACAAACTGTTTTAGAGACTCATAAGTACCTGACCATGTAATGCATAGCTTATCGCTTAAGCTGGTTGCCATATTGTTCATTGTACAAATGAATAAACAACTTTCAATCGCTAATAATCGTCAGGATAGTCTTTCATATAATTTTTCATCCATTCAAGTGTGTTGTATTGGATTGTATTACAAAAATTTTGAAATTTTAGAGAGCTCAACAAAGCACGTCTGCTCATGACCTCACTGGCCATGGCGTAGGTGACATATCACGTGATTCTTTTAGGTGCTATCATTGAACTATAAATAACTGGAAGGCTAAGTCAGGGGGGGAGTTGAAGCCGTGCTTGAAGCTTTTTTTGTAGGTAGACCCAGTCCTTTTTAAAACTTTTTTCAAAATAAGCACATTTTTTGATCAGAAAAATCTTGCCCCAAAATATTAGTTATACCACCGAATTTAATTTATATCAGTAGTATGATAAACGGATTAAATATTCGCAAAGCAAACAAATCACGAATTAGCAAAAAAATACGAAAAAACACGATCATAAGCATGAACGGTCAGAAAAACCGCGCGTTTTGACTGCTTTTTCTGAGTTTTTGAAAGTTTAAGATAAAACTAAGATGTCATACCTCACGAATTATTTAAACCCATGCAAAATACATCTGTATGCGAAGTTTCAAGAAGCATTTAAAAATTGACAAAAATATTGCCATATTCAAAGTGCTCATAGTGGCCAACAAGCATAGGTATCCCATGCCAACAATCAGTGGTATTAATTCATTTCTGTTCAATAAAATCATACTACTACTCAGTCCCTGACTGCATTGTTTACGCGCGGTGAGATCATGGCCAGAAATTCAGGACAGTCAGCGGAAAGACACGCGGGCTCATATTCAACAAGTTTCCATTTCAAGAAAGAATGTAATGCAGTCGGGCATGTATCCGACATTGTATTCGTATGCAAATTTTATACGCACAATACAACAATAAGCCGTTTAAATACTTACTTGAAGTACAGTATGTTCAAGTAAATGAAAGAAAAGTATTTTAAAATAAATTTCCAACTGTTAAAGATGCCAAAATTGAAACTGCTGCAAATAATTTTACCAAATTTTACAAATCTTCCCGCGAAATCTGAGCTATTTTATTGCGAAATCAACCTCACTGAGCCCACAAATACACCTTGTCAGTCCACTGTGTCAGTCCATTGAACTATAAATAAACTGGAAGGCTAACTCAGGGGGGGGGGAATTGAAGCCAGTGCATTTTAGTTTTTCTGAGTTATGAGCAGAAATACTCAACACTGAACGTTGGGCTATATATCAAATTGAAGCTATTGAAAAATGCTATTTGGTGTAGAAATTTCAAGACTTTAGCTAAAAGGGAAATATTGAAAAACTACAAACATAATTACCGATAATTTGCCGTTTTGCAGTTGTTTTTGTATTTTTTAAATATTTTTCTTTTCGCTGAAGTCTTGAAATTTCCACACCGAATAGCAATTTTCAATAGCTTCAATTTGATATATAGTCCGACGTTTGGGGTCAAGTATTTCTGCTCATAACTCAGAAAAACTATTTTGGCTTCATCAAATCATAGGCCTTTATCATAGCAGTTAGCCTTCCAGTTTATTTATAGTTCAATGTGTCAGTCATATAGGTTGCCTAGCAACAATTTTAAAGCAAAATGGCGGATCAACATTTACAAATTTGCTGGGTTTTTAAAATTTTTCGAGTGATTTGTGGTAATTCCAACGCTCAATGTACACATTTTCTGTTTGCTAAAAGCATATATTTGGTGGCTTTTTGGAACCTGTTTCTCCATCCTCTACGGGTTTGTAAACTGTTGGAGAACAAAGATAAACTCAACTTTTATCAATGCAGACATGCAGATGCTCCATGTACTGCCCACGAATGTCCTAAAATGCTGCTCAAAAATGTGCAGTTTGCGAATTTTGGGAGAATTAACTATCTGGTATATGTGATGAGATAAGGTAGGAATATAGTTCTCGGGAACTGGTTTGTCCTACTTGAACTGTTCTGAAATTTATTCGGTTAAAGGATCGAGTAATTAAATGATGTTTTCGACGTGCAGAGCTCGGATTTATGTACGAAAAACGTTGGAAATTGCTAAAACATATATTTGCAATACTTAATCTATATATAAATCAGCCATCTTGAATAATGAATGAGGAAGTATATTGCGTATGCCATCGCCATGTTGTCCTGAATTTCTGGCCATGTCATGTATGTATCTCTATAGTATTTTATGCTAAGGTTGGCAGTTAAATTCCTATATACGCACGTAGCCCTGAAGAAATAGCACAAAAAACTTTAAAAACACACAATAAAACACAAACTAAACTACATAGATGTAAGCTCAGATACTTTCACTAAACTGCCAGTCTATTTTTTGTCTAAAACAACATCGAAAATAACGAAAAATAAGCACAGTTTTTTATCAATTTTGTTGAATTTTCGCTGTGACCAGGGGCGGATCTAGGGGTCGTCAAACCAGTCACGCGACTAACGTAAAAAATTGCAAACATTAAAGTCTTAAATATTCGACCAATAGTCCAGTTATTCAACTTATTTTTTATCATGCAGCGACACCTTATAATAGTCCAGTAACTATTATCATGCAGCGCTTGCAATTAACATTCCAATCGAACTGTAGTCCAGTGATCAAATTTCATACAGTGGTTGAGCCGACGAGCTTAGTCAAGTCAATGAGCAGCTGACATACGCAAAGTCGGTCAGTCAAAAAGTCAAAATCCAGTGTTCTGATTGGTCTAGACGCTTATTGCCATGGAAACAAGCGATTTTTTGCGATTTTGACTGATCTGTGGGGAGTTCTGACCGATTTACAAAAGTCAGGGGTGCTCCATTAGTCGGAATATCATTAATATTTGACGCGTGGTAAAGTCTTTCCGAGCGCGCGCTCATTCGAAGTGTCGTGTTGTAGCTTTGTCGAAAGATTCAATTTAAACATATGTCTGCTCATTGACTCCACTCCAGTCCTTGTATTCACGAAACGGTTCAATCCGCATTTGTTGTGAATGATTTAGCTGTCTTACAAGACTGTTGCGCTGATCTTGGGAGGAAAATCAACGCTAAATATCGGAGAGTTACATTCAGCGAGCAGTTGCTAAGCGGCCTATAAAGCGCCACAAATAGCACGAACTACAGTTTGACTGTTTGAGTAGAAGTATTGGCGTCGAGATCTTTATTCTGAAGTGCAATAAGGTAAATTTAATGTGATATGTAAATTCTATTTCGTTTTAGACAGCATATAACAATATTTATAAGCGAACAAGATGCACGCCATGCATATGTAAAATGGCATATTGCATTTAAAATCTGTACACCCCCTGTTGAGGACACACTGTTCGAATATCTGCCCCCCTGGAATTCCATGTCATTTCTTCTCTTAGGCCCTGGAATTCCAAAAGTTTTTAATAAATTACCCTTGGAAATCTGCTATGTTTTACATTCCCCTGGATTTCCTTGCTATGTTTTGTCTTACCCCCTGGAATTCCAAGCATTTTAAATCAATTACCCTTGGAAATGTGCCATTTTTTCATCCCTCCCTGGAATTTCCAGCGTAAATAAGTGACTTTTGAACACCTCCCCCTGGAATTTCTAGCAAAAATAAGCAAGTTTTGACTCTCACCCCCTGGAATTTCCAGAGAAAATAAGAGTTTTGAC